CATTGTGGAATGCACTGAGAAATGATAAAGATCTACCTAAGAAGCTTGTAAGTAGCTTAATCTGTAATGAATTTATTAATAACTCATTGTAAATGACCAATTAGTACATATAGTACCGCTAGTTCGCTGACAGTAGATGATAGCTGAGTTCATTGTAGGTATCAATAAGTATATATTGTAAGTAATCATGCAGTGAGCCTATCTAGGTGAGACATTAGCCCCTTTAGGTGACAGATGAGTGCATTGTAGGTGAGTGATGAACCCATTGTAGGTGAGTGATGAACCTATTCTAGGTGAGTGATGAACCCATTCTGAGTGATGGACACATTGTAGGCAAGTGATGAACCCATTGTAGGTGAGTGATGAACCCATTGTAGGCGAGTGATGAACCCATTGTAGGTGAGTGATGGGCACACTGTAGGCGAGTGATGAACTCATTGTAGACGAGTGATGAACCCATTGTAGGTGAGTGATGAACCCATTGTAAGTTAGTGATGGATCTATTGTAGGCGAGTGATGAACCCATTGTAGGTGACATACAAACCCATTGTAGGTTAGTGATGGACCAATTGTAGGTGAGTGATGAAACCATTGTTGGTGAGTGATGAACCAATTGTAGGTGAGTGATGAGCACATTGTAGGCGAGTGATGAACTCATTGTAGGCGAGTGATGAACCTATTGTAGATGAGTGATCAACCTATTGTAGGTGAGTGATGAACCCATTGTAGGTGAGTGATGGACACATTGTAGGCGAGTGATGAACCCATTGTAGGTGAGTGATGGACCCACTGTAGGTGAGTGATGAACACATTGTAGGTGAGTGATGAACCCATTGTAGGTGAGTGATCAACCCATTGTAGGTGAGTGATCAACCCATTGTAGGTGAGTGATAGACCAATTGTAGGTGAGTGATGAACCTATTGTAGGTGAGTGATGGATACATTGCAGGTGATTGATGAACCCATTGTTGGTGAGTGATGGACCCATCATAGGGGACCGGTTATAGATATAATGAACACTAATTATAATTTGTGTATATTTTTAATTTATTCATTAAATAGAAAGACATCAGTCATCATCTGGAATGGTTGAAAGGAGTGAAGGAGTCTCATGGATCGGTTGAAACATCATCTCTTAGCCAGGCAGAGGCCATCAACACAAAAGGAATATATACAGTGGGAAACATAGATTACAATGCTAAGGTAGGGGTTTCAATCAGTTTTGTCACTGTTTATCAAGAAAATGTGCTTGTTTATTGAAACAATGAGAAACTAGTAAGCATTGCATTGCATTGCATGGCTATATTGACTTGGAGAACAAATAAATAAATGCAAAATTTATATCTCTACACCTAAATTTATCTTTTGTGATAGAATGGTGACATCAGTGATCATTCATGATGTTATAATCTGCATCCATGTCATAGTCAGCATAGATTATGTCATAATCTGCATTCATGTCATAGTCAGAATCGATTATGTCATAATCTGCATTCATGATGTCATAGCATCAATTATGTCATAATCTGCATTCATGATGTCATAGCATCAATTATGTTATAATCTGCATTCATGTCATAGCATCAATTATGTCCTAATCTGTATTCATGATGTCATAGCATCAATTATGTCATAATCTGCATTCATGATGTCATAGCATCAATTATGTTATAATCTGCATTCATGTCATAGCATCAATTATGTCCTAATCTGTATTCATGTTGTCATAGCATCAATTATGTTATAATCTGCATTCATGATGTCATAGCATCAATTATGTTATAATCTGCATTCATGTCATAGCATCAATTATGTCCTTATCTGTATTCATGATGTCATAGCATCAATTATGTTATAATCTGCATTCATGATGTCATAGCATCAATTATGTTATAATCTGCATTCATGATGTCATAGCATCAATTATGTTATAATCTGCATTCATGTCATAGCATCAATTATGTCATAATCTGCATTCATGATGTCATAGTCAGCATCAATTATGTCATAATCTGCATTCATGTCATAGTCAGCATCAATTATGTCATAATCTGCATACATGTCATAGTCAGCATCAATTATGTCTTAATCTGCATTCATGTCATTAGCATCAATTATGTCATAGTCTGCATTCATGTCATAGTCAGCATCAATTATGTCATAATCTGCATTCATGTCATATTCAGCATCGATTATGTCATAATCTGCATTCATCATGTCATAGTCAGCATCAATTATGTCATAATTTGCATACATGTCATAGTCAGCATCAATTATGTCATAATCTGCATTCATGTCATAGTCAGCATCAATTATGTCTTAATCTGCATTCATGTCATTAGCATCAATTATGTCATAGTCTGCATTCATGATGTCATAGCATCTATTAAGTCATAATCTGCATTCATGTCATAGTCAGCATCAATTATGTCATAATCTGCATTCATGTCATAGTCAGCATCAATTATGTCATAATCTGCATTCATGTCATAGTCAGCATTAATTATGTCCATCTCTGCATTCATGATGTCAAGTTAGGATCAATTATGTCATAATCTGCATTCATGTCATTAGCATCAATTATGTCATAGTCTGCATTCATGATGTCATAGCATCAATTATGTCATAATCTGCATGATCCTGTCTTCATATGTCTGTACTGGGTATATCTACACAAAGCTGGGTGCAGTATGGCTCATGATGAGACATATATATTATTTTGTACTGTATGTTAGTCTAGTTTTTAAAGTATAATTTTTATTGCTAGTCACAGATAGAAATTTCTAAAGATGTAATAAAGTACATTATTATTATATTATATATTCACTACTAAATTACTACTAAACTACTTTATTAAATATTATTAAATCTTAGGATACTCCTGAGTCTGTGATTAGATTGTTAGTCCAGGGTGATGATTCATTAATGGAAGATGAAGATGATGAGGATGAAGCTGCCAGTAAAGATAAGAATTACAATCTCGATATGCTGAAAGATTTACAGAGTAAACTGATGTTGGTTGCTGGGAAAGCTGAGCAAGGAAGGGATGAAGTGGAAAGATTTACTGAGGTATAGTTTAATTATTTACAGTATCTGGTGTGAAAAATGGCCTACAACTATATTTGTGGCCAATTTGTTTTTAAAATAACGGTCCTGTCCAGCTATCTAACTGCAGAATATATGTAGTGCTTTTAGCCACCTAA